ATGGTAAACTTTAAATTTATGATGAAATGCAACAAAATAAATACATTTAAATGATGAAAGATAATACTTGTCCTGCCCCTGAGCTGCTGGCTTTAAGTAACTGAGCAGTTTAGTTGGACAGCACAGTTCTAATGTCTGAAAATAAGCTGCTTTAAAGACAACATTGACCATGAACTACATCTCCCATAATGCCTGTAAATTATGCATGGATATTCCCAAATGGAAGAGTTCAGAATTTAAGATGGAAGCAAGTAAAACTTTCATATTTTTACTTTTAATAGTATTTCTCTATTATTTATTTCACATTTAGTCATTAGTACAAGTAGTATTTCACCGTTTATAAGAGGACGTGTTAAAACACTGTTTCTATGCAGGAAATACCACATAGAGCTCAGGTATTGTTTGTTAGTGCTCAGCCATAGCAATGAGACGAGAAATATGTTTTGTGTTTAGTTGAARTTAAACATGAAATATCAAAGTTAATTACAACTGGCCCTTTGAGGGCCACCATRACGCTCATRTGGCCCTCAGTGAAAAYGAGTTTGACTCTCCTGCTTTATAGGATTTATTATTTTACTGCCTGTGTTCARTCACTGCTTTTTATATCAATCCTCAGCCGTCATAAAATGGCTCTAATAAACATTTGGCAATACGTATGTTTAGGAGCACAGTTAAAACAACATTTAAATAATTTGCAGTTTGACTGCTTCACAAGGGGTTTCAATTTAAAATGTGTTCCTGGTTTGGTAGCCTTCATCTAAATTAATTTGTCACATATTTGTATTTTGCGAGTGAAAGACACATCTAAAATAGTGGTTCTGCATGCTTTGCTGTGGCGGTTCTTCAAATCTTTTTCTCCAAACCAAACTGTTACTGTTGCCCAGTTTTAAGTTACTCCAACAAGAATCCAGAGAGTTGAGCTGTATGAAGCATAGTTAGGTATGACAGGCTTTCCTGATACATTTGGTGTTTTATTAAAAGGTCCGGGAAGACTTTTTTGCTCCTAAATGTTTTGACCGCAGACATCCAGCGGTGGTTGGCCTTCTACTCAAAACCAAAAATGTAAATGTGACACAGGAATTGAATTCATTGTCTGACTGCCACAAATGTCCTGTTATTTTAATAATCTCTTTTTGGAGAACTGCTAACTTCAGCTTGTTCTTTTGCKGCACAGTCAGTGTGTCGCTGACAAAGGTTTGCTGATTTAAGTCCAGTGATTATACTGATTAAAATAATGTAAACTGCTGAAGAGAAATTACAGTTTCCTATCCAAATCTCTACCGTATTCATTCAATGCTTGCTCAAAATTATCGAGCCGAGCCAAAAAGTGGAGATTAAAGGGGGTATATCGCCCAAAATCCATTTTTAAGGTGGTGTCAAATACATTTTGTTGTATGCTCGGAGTGCAGAAAATGTTAATTTAATCTCTCCCAGTCATATTTTTCAACCTGTTCAGTTTTGTCTGTTTTCTACTGCCAAATAAAGTTTGGACGTGCCAACTACAGATTTGTCATCTTCATGAACAAGTCTTCTCTTGTTCTTTTAATTAATTTATAAATTAA